TTAGTCATTAATCTATTATATAATAAATTGATAATATTTAACCAGTTAATAATTTTTACGTTGATCAGTAATTGTTGTATTGAACTTTAGGTCTGACTTAAACAAATGCAGTTAGAGATATTATTTCTTTTTTTTTTTTTAAGAATCCTTTATAAACAATGCACGAACTCGATTTCAAATTATCCATTAGACCAAATGATTCTGGGATCGTATAATAGACTGTTTAATATTTGCCTTGTTATATGGTGAGTTAAACTTTGTTTCTTCTGTAAATTCTTCTGCTTCATAAAATTGAGAAATGAAAAATTTCGTGATATGAAAAGATATCACTTCTGCATGAGATATCTTTTGGTAAAGATCCCAAAGGAAATAAAAGAAAACCATAGGGGACCTCCAAAATCATCTCCATGCGTCATGCTCGCTTTACAAAAGACAGAAGAAATGGAAAACATTTTCGTTCTAACACGCTAACATAACAGCCTGTTCAAGAAATGTATTTTTAAAAGAGCTACTGACAAACTACAGGTAACTGATACCTTTAAAAATTATTTTTCTGATGCTACTAAATGTATTTAATGTTTGACTGTCTAAAATAGTAAACAGAAACGTTTCTTTGGAATTTGCTAATTATTAGAGTGTTTTGTGAATAATGAAATGAATCAAAAGACAGGGGCGTAAATGCTACAAACATTTTAGGGATTTCTAGTGGGTAGAAAAATAAATTAAAAGCATCTATTAGGGTGCTAACTAAGTGACAGGCGCAGGCATCATTTTACTCCCTATTTGCTGCTTGAAGAATTTTTCTAAATATTTTATATCTGGAATAAATATTATTTACATATTTTTGCTTGGTGAAGGTGTAGTTGTCGATTAAAAGGGTGGGTGGGTAGTGGACAGGGACCTTCACTCTTTCCCATTCGTATTTCCAAAAACTAGAAGATACCCTTATTACCGAACAGTAATCTAATGTAGGCCTTCCTTTGCCCTTTTTACTGCTACCGATATTTATTGCTAACTGTAGCATTTCACTATTTCTTGAATTTTTAAATTAAGCGATTGCGGGCACAGAACTGATTTCTTTTCTATTACATCTTGCGTTAAAGGGAATCTAAATTTATAGTTTTCCGTCTTCTAATTTTTAATATTACAACCAGTTTGAAGAATCGAAAATGATGTTAAAACATGGGAAAAATATTTTTTAACTGCTTTTCATTTTTTTTCTTTTAAGTTTTATTTTGAAGAAATTTCAGTTTTTCCTTATGTTACATTAATATCTTTATTCTAACGTAATTTTATACAAATGTTAAATTGATAATTTTTTGTTTTACGTTTTTCCTTTGCCATTTATACTCAACTGCACGGAACTTTTTTCAGAAAAGAATAAGGATAAAGCCACTTTTCAATTTACTTTACTTGTAATGATATTCTTGTTGGTTTTTGCGGTTGTTGTTTACACGAAAACAAAACTTCTCGTCGACAGCTTTTTTTCACGTTTACCTACAACTTCTAGAAAATTCGCTTTTGTTTTCCACTAAGGCAAATTGCACGCTTGTTTTAAAATGGAATCAATACCATCTTAAATGGAACTTTATCTTACTTTAGTTATTTTAGTTGTTTAAGAACAATACGGTTTTCGAAAGATTCATGACAGATACTAATAATACATTATATTTCCTGTTTCCTTTCGGGTTTTCGGCGTAAATAATAGAGCAGCATAATGGTGGAAATAAGCTGAGAAACGTGATGTTTGCGGTTTGCGTTTGAAGGAGTTATCAATGTTCTTATTGCCTATTTACGGCTACATTATATTGCGAAGTGGCTCATTCCAATTTCCCGCAATTATTCCAGAAATCGGAACAGCGCCATGAAAACGTTTTCGTATCGGAGTCCTTGGGGAACGAAATTTTAAAGCTTTTACAGTAGATGGGTGCTCTTTGCGAGTGCGATGTTTAGATAAAAGGAGAAGATGTAATCAAGTGTGCTAAGCAATTGACGGCGGAAACATTAAAATTAAGTTACTTCGATTATATTGACGCTTCACCAAAAGGCAGGAAAAGAAAATCAATTTCTTTTACGTGTCACAAAATACGAAGAACGATGTCACAATATACGAAGGAAGATGTCAGTTTTACTTAAAATACACTCCATTAGACTATTTATACCTGCTTTTATAAAAGCAGCAAAATTTTCATGGGAATATCTAGATGACGGCAGTCTAAAAACGACCAAAAATAACGTAATTTTTGTTCATATTTCAGCACCTCTTTTCAAACAGGAGCCTCTACATTCATATTAATAATTTAAACAATATCTTTTAAACGACAGTAACGAACAGAAAGAAGCCACTTCTACGGTCGCGAACGGTTAATATAGAAATTCGAAAAGATTGTTAAAGGTGTGTTTGGAGTGCGGCGCTGTACGGGTGCGAAATATGGATGGTGGGTGTGGCGGAAAAGAAAAGGTTAGAAGCGTTCGAAATGTGGTGTTATAGGCGATTGATGAGGATAAAGTGGATAGAGAGGGTTAGAAATGAAGAGGTATTAGAAAGATTAGGAGAACAGGAAGTCAACAAGAAATAGGTGAGATAGGTTAGTAGGACACCTTCTCAGGCATGAAGGTCTAGTTAGAGACATATTAGAGGCAGAAACGGAAGTAAGGAGGAGTAGAGGCAGACCTAGATTAGATTCATCATCATCATAAGGTCATCGTCTTTAGACTGGTTGGACACGTACCTCCACTCTTTCCTATCCTGAGCTTAACTTCGCATTTTCCTAAAACTAGAGCAGCCAACATCCTTAACTATTTGCGAAGAGTAATCTAATCTAGGTCTACCTCTACCCCTCCTAACTCCTGTTTCTGCCTCTAATATGTAGAGGTAGAGCTAGATTGTGGGTTGTTAGCATCCCTCCCAAGTTCTACTATTCTTATATCCTCCTAACACATGTTTCATACATTCTACATCCAATCCTCTTGTCAGTCTCCTCACAATAGCTTCTGTAACCCCATCCCTCTATTTTTCTTAAGTCCTCTCCCCTTATCATTTCCTTGCATCTATTCCGCATCGTTGATCAGTAATTGTTGTATTGAACTTTAGGTCTGACTTAAACAAATGCAGTTAGAGATATTATTTCTTTTTTTTTTTTTAAGAATCCTTTATAAACAATGCACGAACTCGATTTCAAATTATCCATTAGACCAAATGATTCTGGGATCGTATAATAGACTGTTTAATATTTGCCTTGTTATATGGTGAGTTAAACTTTGTTTCTTCTGTAAATTCTTCTGCTTCATAAAATTGAGAAATGAAAAATTTCGTGATATGAAAAGATATCACTTCTGCATGAGATATCTTTTGGTAAAGATCCCAAAGGAAATAAAAGAAAACCATAGGGGACCTCCAAAATCATCTCCATGCGTCATGCTCGCTTTACAAAAGACAGAAGAAATGGAAAACATTTTCGTTCTAACACGCTAACATAACAGCCTGTTCAAGAAATGTATTTTTAAAAGAGCTACTGACAAACTACAGGTAACTGATACCTTTAAAAATTATTTTTCTGATGCTACTAAATGTATTTAATGTTTGACTGTCTAAAATAGTAAACAGAAACGTTTCTTTGGAATTTGCTAATTATTAGAGTGTTTTGTGAATAATGAAATGAATCAAAAGACAGGGGCGTAAATGCTACAAACATTTTAGGGATTTCTAGTGGGTAGAAAAATAAATTAAAAGCATCTATTAGGGTGCTAACTAAGTGACAGGCGCAGGCATCATTTTACTCCCTATTTGCTGCTTGAAGAATTTTTCTAAATATTTTATATCTGGAATAAATATTATTTACATATTTTTGCTTGGTGAAGGTGTAGTTGTCGATTAAAAGGGTGGGTGGGTAGTGGACAGGGACCTTCACTCTTTCCCATTCGTATTTCCAAAAACTAGAAGATACCCTTATTACCGAACAGTAATCTAATGTAGGCCTTCCTTTGCCCTTTTTACTGCTACCGATATTTATTGCTAACTGTAGCATTTCACTATTTCTTGAATTTTTAAATTAAGCGATTGCGGGCACAGAACTGATTTCTTTTCTATTACATCTTGCGTTAAAGGGAATCTAAATTTATAGTTTTCCGTCTTCTAATTTTTAATATTACAACCAGTTTGAAGAATCGAAAATGATGTTAAAACATGGGAAAAATATTTTTTAACTGCTTTTCATTTTTTTTCTTTTAAGTTTTATTTTGAAGAAATTTCAGTTTTTCCTTATGTTACATTAATATCTTTATTCTAACGTAATTTTATACAAATGTTAAATTGATAATTTTTTGTTTTACGTTTTTCCTTTGCCATTTATACTCAACTGCACGGAACTTTTTTCAGAAAAGAATAAGGATAAAGCCACTTTTCAATTTACTTTACTTGTAATGATATTCTTGTTGGTTTTTGCGGTTGTTGTTTACACGAAAACAAAACTTCTCGTCGACAGCTTTTTTTCACGTTTACCTACAACTTCTAGAAAATTCGCTTTTGTTTTCCACTAAGGCAAATTGCACGCTTGTTTTAAAATGGAATCAATACCATCTTAAATGGAACTTTATCTTACTTTAGTTATTTTAGTTGTTTAAGAACAATACGGTTTTCGAAAGATTCATGACAGATACTAATAATACATTATATTTCCTGTTTCCTTTCGGGTTTTCGGCGTAAATAATAGAGCAGCATAATGGTGGAAATAAGCTGAGAAACGTGATGTTTGCGGTTTGCGTTTGAAGGAGTTATCAATGTTCTTATTGCCTATTTACGGCTACATTATATTGCGAAGTGGCTCATTCCAATTTCCCGCAATTATTCCAGAAATCGGAACAGCGCCATGAAAACGTTTTCGTATCGGAGTCCTTGGGGAACGAAATTTTAAAGCTTTTACAGTAGATGGGTGCTCTTTGCGAGTGCGATGTTTAGATAAAAGGAGAAGATGTAATCAAGTGTGCTAAGCAATTGACGGCGGAAACATTAAAATTAAGTTACTTCGATTATATTGACGCTTCACCAAAAGGCAGGAAAAGAAAATCAATTTCTTTTACGTGTCACAAAATACGAAGAACGATGTCACAATATACGAAGGAAGATGTCAGTTTTACTTAAAATACACTCCATTAGACTATTTATACCTGCTTTTATAAAAGCAGCAAAATTTTCATGGGAATATCTAGATGACGGCAGTCTAAAAACGACCAAAAATAACGTAATTTTTGTTCATATTTCAGCACCTCTTTTCAAACAGGAGCCTCTACATTCATATTAATAATTTAAACAATATCTTTTAAACGACAGTAACGAACAGAAAGAAGCCACTTCTACGGTCGCGAACGGTTAATATAGAAATTCGAAAAGATTGTTAAAGGTGTGTTTGGAGTGCGGCGCTGTACGGGTGCGAAATATGGATGGTGGGTGTGGCGGAAAAGAAAAGGTTAGAAGCGTTCGAAATGTGGTGTTATAGGCGATTGATGAGGATAAAGTGGATAGAGAGGGTTAGAAATGAAGAGGTATTAGAAAGATTAGGAGAACAGGAAGTCAACAAGAAATAGGTGAGATAGGTTAGTAGGACACCTTCTCAGGCATGAAGGTCTAGTTAGAGACATATTAGAGGCAGAAACGGAAGTAAGGAGGAGTAGAGGCAGACCTAGATTAGATTCATCATCATCATAAGGTCATCGTCTTTAGACTGGTTGGACACGTACCTCCACTCTTTCCTATCCTGAGCTTAACTTCGCATTTTCCTAAAACTAGAGCAGCCAACATCCTTAACTATTTGCGAAGAGTAATCTAATCTAGGTCTACCTCTACCCCTCCTAACTCCTGTTTCTGCCTCTAATATGTAGAGGTAGAGCTAGATTGTGGGTTGTTAGCATCCCTCCCAAGTTCTACTATTCTTATATCCTCCTAACACATGTTTCATACATTCTACATCCAATCCTCTTGTCAGTCTCCTCACAATAGCTTCTGTAACCCCATCCCTCTATTTTTCTTAAGTCCTCTCCCCTTATCATTTCCTTGCATCTATTCCGCATCAATTCCCCTACATTTATCCCTTCCCTACCTGCTCCTGATTGATTTTTAATCTCTTCAAAGTCCTCCCTCTCTCTATCGTATTTACCTATCGTTACTATTTCCAATACCTTCTTCCCCTTCCACATTTCCTTCCTGATACTCCCTCCTTCCAGCCTCCCCAACCTCTCCAAAACAAAAAGTATTGCTGTACAAACAAAACTGGCTTGTTGACATTCTTAACCTGTCCTTTACATTGGTTGCCTTTTTTAAAATTTCTAGCGCAAGTTGTGCTAGATCATTAAAAATCATCTTTCGTAGTTTACTCGATGAACACTTAGCTTGTGCATTTTCAGCATATTTGTTCAATTTTAATTAAGGGAAAATTTATAAGGTTGGTAGTCATTTAACCTGAATTTAGAGCAAGGAGTCTTTTATTTAAGAAATCGTGGCTTGAATTTTTAAGTGTTGAGCACATTATGAGCACATTATTCTTTAATAAGAATATGAAACATGTATTATAAGCATTTTTTCGAAGTGGTTTGTCTTCATTTATTATTATATTTCAAGAGGTTTTGGTTAGTGAAAGGTTGTCATGATCAGCTAAAAATTGCCTGTCTCAAAATACGAAATTGTTAAGTTCTTAATTAGTATCAGCATCAGCGAGGAGAATGAGTTTGTGACGCTTCGCTTCGCTCAAGTTTCAAATATAACAAAAAGGTTTTCGTAAATTGGCGATTTACCAACAACAGAATAGCTGACTTCAAAGAAATTCTTAATTGAGTCTTTTAGTGTTATTTCAGTCGGTCCGTTTGTACATTAAAAAATTGAGCAGTGGTTAATTCTTGGTCTAGGAATACGAGAAAGTACCTTTAAAATTCGTTTCAAGTTTAAGCAATTTCCTCGAAGCATTTTACTTCTAACATAGCGCAAAGATAAGTTTAACATCAGGATAACCTGCTTTGTCGTAGAAGTTGTTACGTGAAATATGCAGAATAAATTTTGAACTGATGTCATTTCTTTTGTTGAAAATGTCATGACCTTTAACCCCTTCTTGAGTTATCTTCTTCCTTACTTACTACAAGATACCTAAAGTTTTTCTGTTTCTTTACATACATTATACTTTTTGCATGCAATGTTTGGAAAATTCAGTTTTCAAATTCATATTCCTATTTTGTATCATAATAAAGGATACCTGCCTACAATAATTTGGTTTTAATAAAATACCTAATTAATTAGAATGACTGAAATCTGGAAGCCACTGTTTTCAAACATATGTATTTGTTTTGAAAAAAATTACGATAATTTGATGTTTCATTAGTTACAAATAAATTAATTTTAAAATAGGAGACTAGAAAAGAAAAGTTTCACAAACTGTACGGTGTGACATATCAAATGAAAGGGCTTGTTGTAAGGGTCTTAAATATATAATAATTTTATGAAGAACGGAGCCCTTACAGGATCACTCGTCTATCTGTCTGTGTTAAATACAGTCGCCTTTTCATATTGTTATTGGAAAATTGCACTCGCTCCTAATAGCTTAACATCTAATCTTACTCTTTTCATACGTTTTGCATTTCTTGGCCTTCTGCTCCTTCGATGAGTTCCTGGGGTGGTTGAGGAGGAACGAATATTCGCTTCACTATTAATCCCCTTCCCTGTGCAGGGGGCAAACTTCTCGCGAGGTGTGATAAATCAGAGACGCCTGAGATATTCCGACACTGAGATGCTAATGATTCGTACCTCTTGTGTTGTTCCATAGCCTGGAAACAAAACGATAAAATAAAATGTGTGATACCGCTGGTTCATTCCCATTGCACCGTCCATATGTGACCACCATGTCTGCATATTCTGAATGTGAATACAATGGTTTTTGTTTGACATTTCCACATTCACCTTATTTTTATATTTTGTGGTAACACTTATTATAGCGAATCGAACGCTAACAAGTGCAGATTATTACATTGACTTGTTTACGTATCAGCTGTTTGCGAAGGTCACGAATAGGTATATGCGTTTCATCGATAGTCGATAAGATAACGCAACGACCGTACTCAATCACTGACGGCTCGTTAACTGGGATATTTTTTCTGAACACTTTTTGCATTGCCAAAACAGTATTCTATGACAATAAATAAAAATAAAATAAAAATACTGGTATGCAAGGGAAGAAAAAGTAGGGAAAGAGCGAACTTAAAGATAGGAGACGAAAGATTAGAAGAAGTGGACTTATGACGAATACTTCGCTTACCTGGTTGGTAGGATACATTCTTAGGCATGAAGGTCTAGTCACAGACATATTAAAGGCAGAAACAGGAGTTATGAGGAGTAGAGGTAGACTTGGATTGGATTACTTTTAGCAAAAAGTTATGGATGTGGGATGTTCTAGTTTTAGGGAAATGCGAAGATTACCTCAAGATATAATAATGACGAGATGTACTCTACAGTGCCTCCAGGTGTTACCCTTGAAATATTCCGAAATACTGATCATAGTATATAAAAAATGGTAAAGCGTGTTATTCCTGTGACCTCATGCACCATATGTTACTGATAATAATTGCAAGGTAATCTAAGCGTATGTAATACTTCCGGAAGTTTGGACTTCGCTGTTATGTTTCTAATCCACTTGCAAAAGCAAACGTTCAAGTCGTAACTTAGTAGGAGAAGATGAAGCGTAAGGAACGTTATTACCTTAATCTATGCCATAGACTTCGAACTTCAACTATTTGTAAACATGGCGTGGCTGTTTTGTGAAATAAGTCCTACTAAGTAATATGAATGCCAGAACTAAATAAACTTTCAAATTAACATAAATTAACTGAACACGAATAAAACTAACCAGTTTTTTTAGGAACCAATCTTAAACGTTTATTAAAAATTTAATTCTGTTTGTAAAGCCTAGAAATGTTTCATTTCATTTTGTTGTAGGTACAGTTTCCACTTTAATTTTCTTCTAAACTTTTACGAGTCAATTAAAGGATCAAAGAAATAGCGGCCATTTCAAATGTAATGGTTTGATTTATAATAGAAACATATACTTTGGATTCTTTGGCTAAGTTTTATTATATAATAAATTTCTGTTTATTTGTAACTTGAATGTAGTAGAACGGTTTAATTGGTTGTATTCTGAATTCGATCTATACAAACATGATAATTACATTTTGCAGAGCGTATTTTATCGAATTAAACAATCAAGTCTGTAAATAGCTCTCGGGCGAGAAGGAAATCTGAGAGAAGTTTAAGTAAAGGTTGTTTTTTCGGATTTATGTACCGTTCCAGTGAACCAAATTTCTTAATTAAATTCTATATCGAAAACTGTCATCTTTATCAAATTTAAATTGGAGATATTATTTATTCCAATTAAATAACGCGGTTTTCTAAATTATTTGTTGAAATCGAGTATTTATTCATCTTCACAACGAATAACTGTTTTTTTTAGAGATTAATTAATAAAAAAGATTAATTTAATCTAATAACGATTTGACTGCGTAGTGTGGAAAGATATAGAAAGCGTTTTACATGTTGTTTAGGTATTAAATCGTAAATATTTCAAATTGTTTATAATATATACATATATGAAACAAGCTTTTGGTTTAGGAACCCATAGGTCACTAATTATTTTTTGTTGAATTATTAATAAATAAAAAAAAATAATAT